GCAGGAGCCTGGGGCATAGGAACACCAGCTGGGATTCCTCTGCCAGCAGCCCTGCCAATTCCTGGGCCCCCAGCAGCTCCAGCAAGTGGCACYCGAGCAATACCAGTCTGAAAAACAAAGAAATATGCTCAGTGGCTTAAAGAATCAGAAGTATACTTTGGCGTGTCATTGCCAAGAACATTCCTCAGATTTATAAGGCATTAAAACAGCTTATAAATATTACCTGCCCACACGTGCTAATACCATTCTCCCTCTACCAAACATTATATGCCTGCCTATCACCACTGAAATCTAGAAGAAAATGACAAAAACTGTCTATATACACTCCTATGAAAATTGAAATCAGAGTAAAAGCCCAAGGTTCCATTCAGAAGGATTTCACCTGGCCAACAAAGGGACATAAGATCCACTCCTCATTCTGACTCTCACCTGCTGGGCAACAGTGGGCAAATTCTGAGACTCAAGTTTTCTCATCTGCAAATGACTGGGTTATAGTAGAACTGTCTGTGGTCATAAAGACTTACAATGGGCTACACTAAAGTAGCCAACTCTACTGGAAGTACCAAGCATTATGAATAGATACACATGCTTTGAACAAAAAATAAATAAATAAATAACATCTCTTGCAGATTTTATAACTGAAAAAAGTTGCAATTTAAGAGTCCAAAAAAGGGAAAATGGCTTGAATAAATTATTACTTTGTACTCTCTTGAGAAAATATCTTTGAGTCACTAATATGACTTACAACAAAAATAAGTGGAAAAACATTTACAAACTCACAAGATAGCAAAATATCACATGCATATTACATGTTAAGTATAAAAAATACTTACATGGGTTAAAAAAAATAGGATACGGTTATTCTCTTTATTAGCAACGTCTTAAAATAAAAAATGGAAAAAAAAACTTGGGTTAGATTCTCTAAAGCCTGCTCTATTTATAAATGTAGCTTGGTGTTTACAGAACCACGGTGGGGATCAAATGTCAGTTTCATCATTTCCTAGTTGTGACATCTTAAGCAAATTACTAAACCCCAATTTGTTTCATTATAAAAATGAAGGCAGTATATCTCAATATTAAAACAAAGTACTGAAGTGCCTGGTACACAGCAGATGCTCAATTAACACTATTATTTTATAATATAATTATAAAAAACACAATATAGATGTATTCTATTTTAGGGGGTTAAGAATTTTTAAGATCCTCCTAGTCTTTATCATCACATTAAGAAATTACGCAGATGGCCTTAGGTACCTCCTCCAATGATTCTATATCAACTGAAGAAGAGGGAAGCTTTAATTCAGAAAAACTCCAATTCTATCCTTCTCCACTTCTTACTTGCAGGGTAATCTCTTTAAGATTCTAATGGGGGGCTGGGGATGTGGCTCAAGTGGTAGCGCGCTCGCCTAGCATGCGTGCGGCCCGGGTTCGATCCTCAGCACCACATGCAAACTAAGATGTTGTGTCCGCCAAATACTAAAAAATAAATATTAGAATTCTCTCTCTCTCTCCCTCTCTCTCACTCTTTCTTTAAAAAAAAAAAAAAAAAAGATTCTAATGGGCTGGGTATGATGGGTGCTCGCCTGTGATCCCAGAGGCTTAGGAAGCTAATGCAGCAAAATCCCGAGTTCAAAGCCAGCCTCAGCAACAGCGAGCCGTTAAGCAACTCAGTGAGACCATGTCTCTAGGTAAAATACAAAAAAATGGCTGGGGACATGTTTCAGTGGTGAGTGCCCCTTAGTTCAATCCCAGGTACCCTGCCACAAAAAGTTTCATAAACACGGGGGTGGGGGGATGGACGGTGGACGAGGCCCAGAGGATGCCTGTGAGGAATGCAATGCAATGCAATGCAGGGCTCATGGAGGGTCTCCATAGGCTTCTGGCTCAGACTCACATCTTTAGGAGGGGGTCCTTCTACTGTCATCGAGACCAGGTTCTCCCCTCGAAGCAGCACCAGACCAAGGACTCGCTTCTCTTCCCTTTCTGCTTGTTTGGAGTTCTTTGGCCTAAAGACAGGTTTAGAAGAAACAGAAAACAGCAAGCATTACAGAATAGGTCAAGTTTAGGTTCACCTGCCTAGGGGCCTCCAAGATCTCCTTTATGCTGTATCTCCTGACAAATGATAAACAGGTCCTCTGGACAGTCTCTATAGGCTGCATATTGTGACCCCTTAGCTGTTCTTTTCCTACCAAACCAAGAAGATGCACAGACCAAAAGACAGGACAAGAGGCAATAAAGTCCAGCCATGGCTCAGATGCTCTTTCCAATATAACTGTGAAGGCTCTTTCCTTACCTTAAGGTCTTGCCAATGCCAAGAGGCAGCCTAAACTATTCCACAAGTAAAGAAAATCCAACCTACTCCACTTCCATGCAATGTCCTTCTAGGACAGATTCAACCTCACTGGCCTTCATATCTGTCCCTCATCTCACATCAGAAATAGAAAAAAATGATAATAAAGGAAAAGGTAAGAAATTTTTCAAATATACAGAGGCTGAATTTGAGGCTGAATTTTCTCATGTGAAATAAAAATTTTCACATCTATTTCTCAAAAAAAAAAAAAAAAACACAGAAAATCCCAAACAGCAACAACCAGAAAAAGATGAACAAAATTAAAAATGTAAACTAAAACAAATAACTGCAATAGAATAGGAAAAAGGTATGAGGGATGACAGATGAGAGAAAGCCAAAGCCAAGATCCTCAAAATAAAGACAAAAATATTCTGATTTAAAAAAAAAACCACAACTTATTTTGTCATTTTATATTCTGTTAGCTGGTTTTCTGTAGATGAACTTTTTTTTCCCTTATTTTTTAATAATAAGCATATAGTGCCTTTTCATAAGAAAATCTTATGGGTAAATATTTTTCAATAAACATTTTTATAACACGAGTTTCATCTAAAAAACAGAAGGGAACCCATTGAGATAGTTCCCAGCAATCTGCTGGCCTGTTAATATATACTGGGCACTCAAGGATCTGTACTTTTTTTTTGGTTTTGGGTGGGGGTGGTATACTGGGGATTAAACTTGGGTGATTCACCACTGAGCTACATCCCCAGCCCTTCTTATTTTTTATTTTGAGACAGGCTCACTAAGTTGCTTAGGGCCTTGCCAATATGTTGAGGCTGGTCTCAAACCTGCAGCCTGTTTCCCAAGTTGTGGGGATTACAGGCATGCAGCACCACTACACCCAGTGATCTCTACATTTATTCTACTACACTTCTTGACTTTACAACACAAGAGCTGCCAAAAGAATTAAAGGGGATTTACAGTTAGTGACATCATAATATGGACACTGCATATGATAAAAGTATGCATATAAATATAAAGTCATGGGCTGGGGTTGTGGCTCAATAGTAGAGCGCTCGCTCTGCATGTACGAGGCACTGGGTTCGATCCTCAGCACCACATAAAAATAAATAAATAAAATAAAGGTATTGTGTCCAACTACAACTAAAAAATATAAAGTCACATAACCCCTTTGGGCCTCAAGATGTTTTGAATGTACAATAGGACAGAAAACTCAACACAACAGTTTGGCCAGAAGCTTAAGATTAGTGAGACTTAAGGGATTTAGCCAATAACATAGAATTATTGCAAAGCAGAAAACAGCTCTGATTGTCTCTATAATGCCAATAAAAATCATTGGCCCCAAACCCAAATGGGGAGCAGAGAACTTACCCTGAAGAGGGTCAGAGGCTTCTTAAAGCAGTTTCAGACCAGGCTGCATTAGGAGAGCCCTTTAGGCTACAGCTTTACAAATAGGTAATGAGGCCAGAAAATCAAGCTCTCCCCCCTCACACACCTGTGGGGAGAACATGAGAGCCCTTTACCCCAGTACCCAGGGGCACGCAAAGTCAGAAAAACAAAAAGCCTAGCAGCCCTCCTTACAACCTACTCTGCTAGAACTAGAGAACAAGACTTGCTGAACTAAGGACGGAGATTTCTTAGTGTTCAATGTTCCCATTTAAGTCTGCCCTCGAAAACAGGAGAGCATGGAGGAACCAACTAGCTACTTCATCACATGTCACTTGTCCCAACCACCCAATCCCCTCCCCTTCTCCAGTCCCCACCCCCAACAGCCCTCTCCTCACTTGATCTTCCTGAACTCATCACAATCACAGAGGATCAAATTCATATGCTTGTCAAAAGCCTTGAAGGTGCCAATGAAGATCCGGCCATCTTGCAGGATGCATCTCATCCTGTAGTCGATGTGCTGCAGCATCTTGCTGCTCTTGCCCACAGTCTGCAAGGAGAAATCAGCAAGGTTGAGCTAATTCTTTTGAACTCACACACGCTTGGGCCTCCCTA